GGGATTCAGGCACCACTTTCAGGATGTTTTCCTGCTTGGAGCACATTGCGTGGGAAGTTGAGCCATGGTCACCTCCCTGCTTTTCCAGAGCCTGGTGCTGCTGTGCAGAAGCTTTTGGGAGAGGATGATCCATGTGTACGTGACATGGATGTGGGTTCTGTCCCTGCTTTAGGACTCGTATTCCCAAATTTTCTGCCCAAAAACCCTCACTCTGCACAGCAGGAAGGACTGACTCTGTCCTTACTCGCTCCTTACTCCTTGTCTACTACTCGTGGCTCTTTCCACCCAAGCAGAGGCCCCAGGATGTTGTTCCCAAATATTCCCAAGGAGGGTAATCTCTGCCTTATCTCCCTCCTGGAAGGAGCAGAGAGAGCAGATCTTTGCTCATCCAGGTGAAGATCCCTCAGGAATGTTTGTCCCACGAGGTTTTCCTCCTCTATCCCAACAGCCAAGAGGTCCCTGGGTCGCTCAAGGGTGGATGGGATTAGGGTTTTTTTAGAGGAAAACTCTTTCTGGGTGCACCAGGATAGAGGCGAATCCATCCTGGCCTCAGCTGGGACACCCTGGAATTTTTCACAGGCTGGATCTGAGCTCTCAGGGAGGCCTGGACTGATGGACTTTCTTCCCCAGGGGTAGGATCCAGCTTTTGGGAGGAACAAACCTTGGATCAGGGCTCTCCCTCTGCAAGGAGCTGAAACCACACAGGGAAAAATCAGGAATCCACAAGGAGTCCTATAATGCCAGGAGGTTTTACCCCTCTGCCAGCACCTTCTGTGGAGTGCAAATTTTTGGGACAATGTGGATCAGACTCCCCAGCTGAGTTCCTTGAGGGATCCCAATGTTTCACAGAACTATCCTACAAAATCCAGGCTTGGGAAGACAAGGTGGTCTCTGGAATTCCCTCTCAGGTGCCCATCAGCCCCCACAAACCTTATTCCCATCCTTCCGTCGCCGACGGATTTTTCCTATTCCTCCTGCAATGGAAGCTGCCTCGCAGCTCCATCCCGACCCAGGGAGGTTCCCCCTTTCCCCCTTCCCTCCCCCCCTTCCCCCCCACTCCCCCCCATCCTTGAGATTTATGAGCCAGACTTGCATTATGAGGTGAGTGACTTATCGGGCTGTCAGGGCGAGCGTTTTAAGACGGAATTATATGGGAGAGGGAAAAGATTTTTACCAAATTAATGAAAAATCAATCCGGCCTCAAAAATCCATTAATGGTCATAATGCACTGGTTACAGATAGAGAGATACCAGGGAATCCAATAGTGCCTGTTAAATACCTCTCCTGGAATGGAGCGTCTGGGATATAACTCATTCATTAGGCTGCCCATGTTTACTTTTTAAAGTGACACCAAGGCCTGTCCCTGCAGGACTCCATGCAGCATTTATAAGCCCACATTCCCCCAGTGCCCATCTCCGGGGCCAGCCTGGCCTGGTTCTGAAGGAATTGATCCTCCATTCCCTTTTTTTCCCCCCTCCCCGGGACAATCCTTGCTGAGGCAGGGCCGGAATGACTCTGTTCCTACAGCTGATGGTTTCCCCTATAGCTGATGGTTTCCCCTATAGCTGATGGTTTCCAGCCTTCCCCAAGCTCTGGCTTTCACCCCAAATAGCTCTCTGGAGGTCTGACCTGCAGCTCAGAGTGTCTCCTCTTCATTTTCCTTAGTCTTACTTTAGTGCTTGGCTTAATCCCTCCCCTCATCCAACAATAACAACGTTAATCCCGGGACTGATCCTGCTCCATGTCCAGCATCTCTGGGGAGCCTGGGAATTGCTGCTGGTGCTCTCCCACCTCTCAGCCTTTTGAGGAATGGTCAAATGAGGAAAGGCTGAGAGAATTGAGATCGTTCAGCCTGGAAAAGAGAAGCTTCAGGGTGACCTAATTGTGGCCTTCCAGGACCTGAAGGGGGAACTTGCAGGCAAGATGAGGCAAAACTGTTTCCAAGAGCAAATAGAACAAGGGGGAATGGCTGAAAACTCTCAGAGAGCAGGGTTAGATTGGATATGAGGAAGAAATTCTTCCCTGTGTGGGTGGTGAGGCACTGGAATGGAATTCCCAGAGAAGCTGTGGCTGCCCCTGGATCCCTGGAAGTGTCCAAGGCCAGGTTGGAGCAACCTGGGCTAGTGGGAGGTGTCCCTGCCCATGGCAGGGGGTTGGAATGAGATGATCTTTAGGTTCCCCTTCCAACCCAAACCATCCCACGACACTATGATTCCAAGATTCCAGGATTCTGTGAGCGACGTGACACCCAGTTTGAAGGGTCAACGTTGGCCACCTCATGCCTGGGAGAGGATCCTCCTCCCTTTCTCCCTTCTTTTTGCACGTTGGGGTTGTTGTTGCTCCTCACCCTGTCCTGCCCCACCTTTCAGACCCCCGAGTTGTTCCAGCCCTCACGGGGATGATGAGCCTGGCATGATGGATCTCAGGTGGCTTCCTGTGGGATCCACCCTCTCCACATCTGTCCAACTGTTTCCCACAGCTGCCATTCGCTGCCTGGTGGAAAATTCAGTGGAGGCAACGTGCCCAAAAAGTCGGGACCACAATCCAAATGGGAATTGCGGGTGTCTGGAGGACATTAAACCTCTCTAACATGAGTTTTCCATGCAGTGGTGGTGTCAAAGACTTCAGGAGAGAGCAGGAAAGACCTTGAAAGAGCAGTTCCTCCCATTCCTTTTCCATTCCTGACTCTCCATGGAGTGTCTTCTCCATGGAGTCTTCTCCATAGAACAGAGAGTTTGTGGGAAATCAATCACACTTTGGAATGTCACAGCAGCTCCAGGATGTTGAACGGTCTTGGAGATGGAAGAGAAGGTGAATTCCTCCTGCAAAGTGCCTAATCTAGAGAGGAGGCAACTTTTTTAAGAAGATCATTGCCCAGCATGAGGATAAACCACTCCCACTGCCCGGCAGGTCCTGCCCAGAGGCTGGAATGGGGTAGGAATTCTGCTTTTCCCACGAAAATGAACCGCAGCCCAGCCCAGGGGTGCAAGTGCTCAGCAAAGCGAAGTCAGACAAGAAGGACTCGGATTTTCCAGCCCCCAAATGCAAATATTCCCCCTAGGGGTGGGTCTCAGTGGTTGCTCCTGTCCTGGGGGTCCTCAGAGGTCCCTGGATCAAGCACATCCAGCTCCAGTCATGCTCTGGCACATCAGGGAACTGCCTTGGATGAGTGTTGCTGTTCTTCATCAAACCTGGAAAAATTCTCCTCCTCCCACTGACAGGGAAAAGAACAGGACGTCAAATCTTGTTTCAGAGATTCCACAGATTGCACAGCTGGGAGGGACCCACAAATCTTGGCTCGTCCACGAGCCAGAGGCGAGTTGTGTGTTTGGTGCTGCTCCCACCTCCCCTTCCTTCGCTTCCCAGCCCTGGCACCTGGCACTGATCCCCTCCTGATTTCCACTGGGAAAACTGGGATCAGGACCTGTGGGATGCCTGGATAGAGTCAGATCCACACATCGCCCCTGCTCAACGTCATCTGGCACCGGGGGTTTCGTTTCCTTTAAATCTTTTTTAAAAAGCAATAAAAGGCCCCCGGAACACTCGGAGCGCCTAAACATCCACCAAAGTGACAGCCTGTCAAAGCTGCCTCGCCGAGAAACCCTGGGCCCAGCAAATTTTGAAGCAGGAAAATTTATTCCCCATGTCGCTCGTCTCTCCGGGGATGAAAAATGGCCGGGGCTCCCTCATTTCGCGCGGAGTCCTGGAAAAGCGGCACCCGTGCTCAAACGAGCGGATCGGCCTCAAACAGGACCAATTCATCATCCGGAACAGGCGGAGGCGACAACCTGCTCCAAAAAAAAGAGGGGAAAAAGGATTAAGTTGTGGGTTTTATCCCGGCCTAAATGATCTCGCCCATTAATTTGACACGACAGGGCTGCCGAGCGCGACGTTTCCCTCTCGGCCGGGATCTAACACGGGGCTCTCTATTAACCGCTCACCTTTGCCACTTCCAGCCCCTTCTCCGGGGGGATTTTTCCAGGGGATTTTGGTGTTAGGTGCCTGCTGGCTGCGCTGAGGTTATGTTGGATGGGTTTAGACCAGGAGAAGAAGCTCTGCTGCCCCTGGAGATGGGTTGGGAATGGATTTTGCTGGAGATGGTTTTGATAGGAATTCCAGATTCGATCTATTTTTCTTTTTTTTCACGCTGTCCGTGCCAAAAATTCCAGCTGGACTTTTGTTTGACTGTCTGCACTTTGGGATGTTCACCCACCCCTGGAAGTGTCCAAGGCCAGGTTGGATGGGGCTTGGAGCAACCTGGGTTAGCAGAAGTTGTCCCTGCTCACGGCAGAAGGTTGGAATTAGATGGTCTTGAAGGTCTCTTCCAACTCAAACCATTCTGTGATTCTTCCATTGCTCTTCAGCTTGGAGGAAATGATCCTTGTAAAGGCACTTGCTGTCACAGACCCGTCTTCTTTTCAAGTTTGAATCCCATGGGATTAGTCCAAACAGTCCGGGATCTTCTCTTCAACTCTCCAGGGTTGTGATCCTACTTTTTGTCCTGTTCTCTTTCCTCAAGATCACAGAATCACAGAGTCACTGAGGTTGGAAAAGACCTCCAAAAGACCCTGGAGTCCAACCTGTGACCCATCCCCACCTTGTCCCCCAGCCCAGAGCACCAAGTGCCACATTCAGGCCTTCCTTGGACACCTCCAGGGATGGGGACTCCAAACCTCTCTGGGCATCCCATTCCAGTGCTAAATTAATGTCTCTCTAAAGAACTTCTTCCAAATGTCCAGTTCTGGGCCCCTCATGGCAAGAAGGACATCGGGGGGTTGGAGCGTGTCCAGGGAAGGGAACGGAGCTGGGGAAGGGGCTGGAGCAGCAGGAGCAGCTGAGGGAGCTGGGGGGGTCAGCCTGGAGAAAAGGAGGCTCAGAGGGGACCTTCTCACTTCCAGAACTCCCTGATTGGAGGTGGAGCCAAGTGGGATCTGGCTCTGCTCCCAGGGAACAAGGGACAGGAGGAGAGGAAACGGCCTCAAGCTGTGCCAGGGGAGGGTCAGGTTGGACATCATGAGGAATTCCTTCATGGAAAGGGTTGTCAGGTATTGGAATGGGCTGCCCAGGGAGGTTTGGAGTCCCCATCCCTGGAGATGTCCAAGGAAGGCCTGGACGTGGCACTCAGTGCCCTGGGCTGGGGCACAAGGTGGGGATGGGGCACAGCTTGGACTCCACGACCTTGGAGGTCTTTTCCAACTGAATAATTCCAGGCTCCTGAGTTCAGCAAGGTGAACAAACACAGAGGTGGACTTTTCCAGGAGGTGACAATGACACAACCAGCCGGTCACAGCTGCAGCCTGAAGGTCTGACCTTGGTTCCTGGGCACGGCCGTGATTGTCCCTCCTCCCGCCCCGCTGGGACCTTGCCAGGCCCTCCCTCCGGGCCCCATCACATGTGACACGAGCGTGACCACTTGCAGGGCGGTTCCAGGGGCTGCAGGGACAGGGATCAGCTCCCTATTTAGAAATGCTGACGGAGTAGGAGCTCAGATCCAGCACCCTGGGCAGGGACACCTCGTGGATCTTAATCCCCCGAGAGCTTTGATTGCAAAACCAAAATCAAAACGAGACAAAACCTTCCCTTTCCTTCTTCCCTAAACCCTCTGCTCTCAAAGAGGGGTTTCAATGGTTGGGATCTGTCCCTCTAGAAGCACGAGGGAGCTGATGGGTGTATTTTGGTGCCACCCTCGCCCAGCTGGTGCCGTGAGAAGGTCAGGGAGACCTCAACGTGCCTTCCTGGCCTCAAAATCTGCTGCCCCGTCAGCGTTTTTCCTTTCCCCTGGCTAAAATCAACCCCCCCAGATGTGCCGGATGTTGCACAAACCCTTTGTGAGCCTGTCCTTGTGCCTGGTGACAGAGCTCCAAGGGGCTGGCAGGGCGTTTGTCACCTGCAGAGCTCCGTGCAGGGGATCTGTGGTGACGTGGATCCCGGTGACACTTTGTCCCTCACCCGGCTCAGCCGCTCCACGTGGTGACATCTCTCCCCTTCCACATCCCCAAGGTGCCTCTAAGGTGCTTCCAGGGAATCCCAACGACAGGTTTCCTCACTGTGATGTCACCTGTGGGTGGAGACACATACCCAGCACTCCCAGCACTTGGCTTTGCTGCTTCCTCAAGCCTTGGGAGACGCTGGAGAGGCACCTGGAGAGGTAGAGATGTTGCAGCCCCAACAGGGAATCCCAGGATGGTTTGGGTTCAAAGGGAACTTAAAACCATCTCTTTCCAACCCCTGCCATGGGCAGGGACACCTTCCACTAGCCCAGGTTGCTCCAAGCCCCATCCAACCTGGCCTTGGACACTTCCAGGGATGGGGCAGCCACAGCTTATCTGGGAATTCCATTCCACCTCCTCATCACCCTCCCAGACAAGAATTCCTTCCCAATATCCCATCTAACCTTGCCCTCTGGCACTGGGAAGCAATTCCCTGTGTCCTGTCCCTCCATCCCTTGTCCCAAGTCCCTCTCCAGCTCTTCTGGAGCCCCTTTAGGCTCTGGAAGGGGTTCTCAGGTCTCCCTGGATCCTTCTCTTTTCCAGGCTGGACATTCCCAGCTCTCCCAGCCTGGCTCCAGAGCTGAGGAGCTCCATCCCTTGGAGCATCTCCGTGGCCTCCTCTGGCCTTGCTCCAACATTCCCACATCCTTGTGCTGTTGGAGAGCCCAGAGCTGGATGCAGGGATCTGCAGGGCAGATCTCCAGATCTCCCCTTCCCTTTCCCCAGGACTTTACAGCTCGAACTGATGAAGAAACCTCCGTGTTTTATGGTCTTTTCTTTCTCTGTCTTGGTCTCTGTGACCCCACGGATTTCTGGGAGAAATGGCCCCGGGAACACCAGCACTGGGAATTACGTGGCTGGTGGGATTGCTCTGATAGTCCTGAGAGCACAGAAACAAATCTGTTCAAAACCCAGAACAAATAACCCACTCCAGATTTTTATTTTAAACCAAATCTCCCCGTTGGGCTTGGCCAGATCTCTTAATTTTTCTTTAAATCATAAGCTGAGTTTTTGGCAAGACAAAAGGAGGAGAGAAAAGGAGGGGGGGTGAAAAAAAATCAAAAGCATCTTCCTGAGGTGTTTGGGAAGCCGAAAAGTTCCCTATTACACAGGTATCAAACAGCCTTTTTTCCCCATGCAGACAAAATCATTCCCCAGATCTAATTTTAGGTGATTTCCCTTTTTTGTGTGTGTGTGTGGCAGCTTAGAGAGAAAAAAAAATATAAAATAAAATTTAACCGATGTCTCATGAAAGTCAAATCAAGTCGGGTCTTTTTCTTTCTTTTTTTCTTTCTTTCTTTTTATTATTTTTTTTCTTTTTGGCCCTTTTTCAAGACGATTTCCCCCCCCTTTAGGTTTGATATCTCTCGGTGTTCTCGCTAAGGGAAGCTGGGAACAAAGTGCTGGGGTGCAAAGTGAGCTCCTCCTTGGAGGAGCTTCCATGCTGTGCTCAAATATGAGCTGGAAATACATGTATATATATGAATATATATATATATATATATATATATGCATGTGTGTGAGCAAGAGATACTTAAGAGAGTGCTTCGCTTTTTTCCTCCAAATATTAATATTTAAGCTGACCCACCTCTCCCATCCACCTCATTACTAATTTAATCCACTTTAGAGCCGAGGGGGAAACTGAGGCAGGGCCACTCTGCTCACATTAGGAGGGATCCTGCTGGCTCAGCTCTTGGCTTTTGCACCTTCCCTCTACTTTTTGAGGCCGGATCCCGGGTCTTAAAGCCCGAGGAGGAACATCCTGGGGGGATAAAGTTCATCCCTGGGCGGTGGCACGAGGCAGAACCGGCTCAGTGACACCGGGAGGTGACACCGGGAGGTCCCCGTGGCTCCTCGAGCAATTTATAACCAATTCCCGACCAGTCAAGCATTTAAATACTTTGCAGACTCAATTAAAAGGTTTT